CTAATACTCTAATTCTGTACCTATTTTTTCTTATCTTAATAGTAACCTTAATTACTATTCTTATTTCAGAGGCTATATCCTTTATAGTATAAACGAGTGTAATTATTACGGGGCGTGCCCGTTTCCCGGCTTCTTTAGTTCTAGGCACTTATATACTTTATAGCCAGACTTATTATAGTTATAGTAAGTCGATTTTTTCTAATTTGGGCAGATAGTAATATAGTAACTTTTCTTTTAATAAGTAAAGTAAATTATAACTAGTCTTATAAATTCTAATATAGGTACTATATTAGACCCCGTTATTATATCTTTACTATTCCGGTTATGCGAATCTCGTAACAGAATTATATTTCTCTTTTATTTCTTTTTATTATCTCTTTTATCTTTTCTCTAGTTTCCTTTCTTTTATTCTTTTATTAGCTTATTAGTATATTTCCGTTAAGCAGACAAGTTCAAGTTATTCTTAACTCTTATAGCCGCAGAAATAAGCTTCTCTCTTTCTTATAAAGCATTCCCTTAGTAATTAATCTCGTTCTGAATCTCCTGCCTCAAGCTATTAAATAAGTTATTCCGCTCTTGCGGCAAATTTATATATCCCAAGTTATCTAATAGGCTATTTAAGTAGAATATAAAGCTTTAGATACTCTAACCTAGCTACTATTTTGCGTCCTTAAACTTGGTGAGGGCATTATTACTATAGTTTTCCGGATTTAAGATAGAATTTTTTATAAACTTAATAAAGATCTTCTAATCTATAGTATTAATACCCACTAATTACTTCCTATACTTCCAGATATCTCTGGCTATACTCTTAAAGTAGGAAGTATAATATATAATCTTTACTATATCTATAGCCTAAGTAATTTCGCCGTTTTTATATTACTTTAGTTCTGCCTAATAAAAGAAATTCTGGGCTTCCTTAATACTCTTCCCCTTATAAATTAGTAATTCTCGGGTTTTTGGAGCCTTATAAACCAAATGTGCTACTAGTAGTATAATAGGTTCTATAATAGGTGCCCGAATATTCTTAAGATAGCGAATCTGAGCTTCTAGCTTCTCTAGATTCTTCCTCTATTATATCTCCGCTTCTAACTTAGTAATATAATAATAAGCCGCCGCTAGCTTCTCTATTATTATTATTCTGCTAGCTAGTTCTAGGGATATCTGAGTTCTACTTCTTTCTTCTAATTAGGTAGTAGCTAGAGTAGCTAACTGGGCGCTTCCCTAGATATCCGACTAGATTACTCCGGTAATAGTAGAGGCACTTCTTCTAGTTAATACTCTAGCTATTAATAGTTTTATTTATTAATAGCTTAATTATCTTATAATAAACTACTTCCCGAAAATTAGATTAATTAGAATATAAGGTATATAATAGCAGGATAATATATAAGTAGTTAAGGTAAGTAAGCTATAGAGTAATACTTATAAATATAACTAATTCCAAGAATTAATTCTAATAAAAGACTAATTAATACCCCTCTCTAAAGCTAAAAGCGTCTCCTTATATATTCTCTAGTACTTAGCCAGATATATAAAGCCCTTTACTTAATTAGGAAATCCCATATAATTCATATAATTCCGGTCGCAAGCTATACCCAAAATAGGAAACTAGATTCACGATATCTAATACCTGTTTATATACTATTCTATATATCTATTATATATCTATAGTTAATACCTATAGTAAAGAGTTATTAGTTATATCTTCCTAAAAATATATATTAAAGTAAAGTATAAGATATATTTCTTTAAAGCTTAGTTACTATTAATATTAAGTAAGGTATTATAACTTTCTATAAGCTTCTAGCTATTCCGTAATACCCTTATAGAACCCGAATAGCTAGTACTAGTTATTAGATAAAGATATAGGAATGCATTTTTAGAGTTACCTTTATTTTTAATCTTATTTACCGGAATCTGAAGTCTTTAAATATTATAGCGCTTTAATAAATATACTAGACTATATATAACTTATTATAGGATATAATAATATATTAATAGAGTATTAATTATTACCTATAATAGTATATAGTTAATTTAATTATATTAAGGTTATAAATAGCCCTTTATAATATTTTAATATCTGAATTAGTTATATTATAATTCTTTAATTATTTAGTTTAGGAGGATTTAATCTTAGATATCTCGATATATAAGAAAGGGTATAATAAGGGCGGAATTAGTTAATACTTAATTATATAAGAAGGCTATATTCTTATTAATTTTATAGTAATCTCTTTATAAGGAAATATTAATATTATAAGTTAATTATAATAATATAATTGAGATAAGGAAAGCTAACTTTATTTTAGATAGAATTGTTTTTATATTTATAATTAAATAGTATATTTGATTTTATTTATATTATATATATAATAAAGTCTTTATTAATAATAATTCTTACTAGATTTTAGGGAATAGTTATAGTTAATATAATAAGCTAGAATATAATATACTCTCTTTTCTTTAATATAATCTTTTATAAATAAAAGTACTATATTCTAAAAAGCTAGAGTAAAAAGCTTAATTCTTAACGAGATATATATATAAAACGGAAGTAGGAAATAGTTATAGAGCTATATTATAGATATTTAATTACTAGTTGGCCTATATTAATTATATAGCAAGAGTACTAGAGCCCGGGAAATTTATTAATATAGAGAATTAGGCTTAATATTATAGGAGTTATAGAAGATATATTATTATTAGTTTTTAAATACTATTTCTTTTATATAATCCGGTAATCCGAATTTCAACTTACTAGCTATATCGGATATTTGCGGAATAGGCTATATTATTATATTATTGCGAGAGATTTCGAGTCTAGTATCTTAAAGTATATATATATATATTCTATAAGAAAATAGTAGGAATCTTCTAGTAGGCTATTAATTGATTTTTGGGTATTAATTTTATACTTTATAGACTAATTAAATAGCTATACTTTCTTAGAACTTGACTTTTATTTCTAATATATAATTCTAGATATAACTAATATTTGCTAGTTACTATTTAATATCTACTTTTATAATTAACTATTTTTACTCTAATATATAGTAAAATAGATTTGTATAGATTCTCTATCTGGATAGGTTTTTCTTAATAATTAGATTAAAATATAGTTTACTAGATAGCTGTAATATAGATTAATATATAAAGTAGGAAATAAGAAGATATACTTTAGTATATTCCGATAATATTATAAGACCAAGAAAAGAATTATAGCTTATATAAGACTAATAAGAGGCTTAATAACTCCTTTTATAGCTAGTATAATATAACTTGGATTTGTATTTTATTTATATTTAGTATTTGTATTTCTTATAGTAATAGCTAAAATATAATTTGAAATATCTTATTTATATTAATTTTTTTTATTTTTTTAAATAGTAAAAAAATATAAATTAATAATATTTTTACTTATATTAAGTTCTTTTTATTTTCTTTATTAATATAAGATTACTAGTAATAAGTTTAATATTTTATATTATATTATTTATTATAATATAAAGAGAAAAGAATTTAATTTACTAAAATAATATTAAAAAGTACTTATAAAATTAATTTTATAGAGTTTTCTTTACTATAGAATTAATCTTATAGGGCTTTATTTACTATAGAATTGATTTTATAGTAAAGGAAAGTTAAATCTTAAATTTACTTAGTAGATAAGAAATTATATACTATAGTATTAATATTATAGGGATATAGTACTATAGTATAGAAGCTATAGATATAGAGAATAAAGCTATTTGCAAGGCTTGGCAAAAAATATATCTTAGGCAAGAGTAGTAAATATATATTATACCTAAGGAGGCAAGTATATATATAGGGTTGCGAGATAGTATATAAGAAATAGGGCATTATATGGAAAAACTTATAGAATTAACGATTTTCTAATATAGGAGGTCAGGAGGGATTAAATAGTTCTCTTTTTATATAAGTACCCGTTCTAGGGTCTGCCCAGAGAGGGTGCTTATATATTCCAATCAGAGTTGGCCTCCTGTTATTTCCCCTTTGGGCGTATATCCATGTTTTAGGAATGCTACACGAGCAAAACAGGGATGTTATAGGGATTGGCAGGGGCACACTTCTTTTGTATCTATCTGCCCAGATACTGAACTTGAAAGATGCGCAAAAAGTCGAGGAGCCTTGGCTAGATATTAAGCCACAGTAAGGGACCACCCAATAACCACCCACACCACTCAACCGCCTAAAGGCCTATTTAACCAAACAACGCAACAAAATAAAGAAAAGGAGTCTATAAAAATGATCTACGACTTAATTATAGTTATCTTGCAGGTTTTTAGAATTTCCTAAGTACTTTGAAAAAATTGCAAATTTTCTGGTGTTCCTGCGGGGCGGTTGAGGGGTGTGGGTGGCTATTGGGTGAAACCTTTCTGTACAGGCATGACTTTCAATTTAAAAAAACTATTATGAGAGATCGATATCCGAGATCTGGCAAGAATATAATATGATCCTAAATCATCTAACGAGAATTCGAATACATAGTTCTCAGATACTAAATCTCGGTTTTGCCTAGAAGAAAAATATCCAAATAAAATTTTTCTTACCGAGAAATCTAAGAAGATTTATTACTAAAGTCACTTAAGGCCGTTGAAATAGCCCAATTTTCCTCAATAATCTGTGTTGTGTGTGTCAGGCTCAGCTCCATGGCATTAGGATTGGATGTTCTCAGAACTGGCTTTTTTCGTTGCCGCTTTTCATAAACGCTCGCGTATCGAGAAGGCAAAAGCGAGCACGTGGACTTGCGAATGTTGCTGCCCAAACCCAGCCCGGCGGCCAAGAACCAGGCACGTGCTCGGAGTTTGTTGATCCTCGGGGCGTGGCGGAGGTCGAGGATCAATTCCTTTTCGTTTGCAGCTGCTAGCACTTTTGCCTTGCTCTTGACCAGCCCAATCTAAGCGAATGTGTTCAGTGTCCCGGAGCCCACCGTACACATCTCCGTCACGTGTAGCGTACAACTGGCTGTCTCTCTTCAGCTCAGCCTCACGTCTTCTTCACATTGTCGGTCACATCTCGACAAGCGCTATTCACGGCTACATCCGGCTTGCGAAATGTCGAAAATATTCAACAGGTTCAAGAAAGGTCGGGCCGGTCGCGATTCGAATCTGCCCGCAACTCGCGGCGAGTCGTCCAATGCATCGTCCGCTCCGGCGCTGAGCCAAAATAGCGCAGACCCGTCTACCCATGCCCCAGCATCTCAGCACCCTCAATCGGCGGGGAAAATCGGCCTGTTTGAGCTCGCAAAGGGAAAGCACGATGACGAGAAAACAATCGATGTGGTCGCTGTCCATGGGCTGCAGGGAGATTTGTATCAGACCTGGACACACGAGAATGGCACCATGTGGCTCGAAAGTATACTGCCTGATAAAATTCCTTGTGCTCGCATCATGACATTCGGCTACAATTCAGCTATTGCCTTTAGTAGCTCAGAAGCTATGCTCGAGGACAAGTCTATCGAACTCATCAATCGATTAACCATGAAGAGATCTTCCATCGAAAATGGTTCCACGCGGCCTATAGTCTTTGTCTGCCATAGTCTGGGCGGCATCTTGGTTAAAAGGGCACTTATTCTCGCCCACGAACGTTCTTTGGACACACACTACAGGACTATACTGGATAACACGAAGGCTATTGCCTTCTTAGGTGTTCCACATCGGGGAGCTAATGCCGCCTGGTGGGCTACTTTTGCAGCAAATTCTTTGAAAGGCGCCACTCTAGGTATGGTCACACATACGGCTCTAGTCAAAGACCTCCAGAAAGCTTCTCCAACACTAGCCACCATCTCGAAGCAATTTGTCGACAGAGCAAAATCTCTAAAGATTTACACATTCTACGAGACCCGAAAGCTGTCTGGGATAGTGGTATGTCACATACGTAGCTTCTTGTTTCTCGTGCTAATCTAGTACAGGTTGTTGATAAGCCATCAGCACTTCTAAATCTTCCAAATGAAAAGCTGTTCCCGGTAGATGCCAACCATAGAACCATCTGCAAGATATCGTCCGCCGAGAGTCAGGAATACGAGGCCGTGGGCGCCTGGATTGAAGACCTAGTTCGCTCAGTTGCCACAAATGCACCACACAACCTGCGTAAGTTGGCCAAAGAGATAATCCCTGCTTTATAATGTCTAACAGTGCCCTAAGCACAAGTACCATCATCGTATTTCGAAGTTCCTAATCGCCGAGTTTCCCACTTCTTTGGACGAGAAGATATTGTAACCAAAATCGACCAGGCCCTCTCCGTGAGTCCTGGCCCACATGTCGTAGTCCTTCGAGGTATAGGTGGCCAAGGCAAGAGTCAAGTAGCACTGGAATACTGTCGTCAAAAGAAGGATGGTCCGTCCCCCGATATTTTCTGGATTGATGCAACAAGCGAAAACTCTGTAACAAGCACTTTTATCTCCATCTCTGACCTCATTCGCACCACGACCGATCAGCTTCTTGATAATAATGCTCGACTTGCCTTAGTTCGCCGGAAGTTTGCTAATTGGCCGACCGAATTGCTCCTGGTTTTCGACAACTATGATGATCCTCACGAATTCCCAAACATCCAAGATTACTTCCCACCAAATAAGCTCAGTTCAATATTGGTTACTGGCAGACACGCAGATATCGGCACACTCGTTCTTGGTCAAGACGACAACCTCATTGAACTGTCCGGCCTTGCAGACACCGCAGCCGTGGACCTGCTTGAGCACCACAGCCAAGTCAAAGAGACGAATGGCAAATTTGGCGAAGAGATAGTAAAGAGGCTCGGGTATCACCCACTCGCTATAACGCAGGCCGGTACATATATCAGAAAAGGAGGGATTCCGCTGGGTGAATTTATGGATATATACAAGCAAGAAAAGGCCGAGATCTTGACCAACACCCCACAACTCTCTCAGTACCGAAGAAAGCTAGGAGATGCCGAGAACGAAACATCTTTGAATGTTTTCACCACGTGGCAACTTTCGTTCCAGCAACTGCTGTCACATGTGTCTGAAGATAGTGTTGCGGTCAAGCTCTTAAGGCTTCTTGCGTTTTTCGACAACAAAGACATTTCGGAGTGGATTTTTATCGAGTTTCACCGCAATCCAGTCGTCAACAAGACAAATGAACTCCTCCAATGGGTCAATCAATTTACAGACAGTCAGCAACGTTGGAGCAATCGCTTGTTTAAAAAGAACCTGGTCCTCCTGCATGATTTTTGTCTCCTCCAGTCAGTCGCTCAAGATGCAGATGAGTACAGTCACGCATCATTGCACCCTCTTGTTAAAGACTGGATACATCTACAAATGGGACAGTCTGCATGCCAACAGTATGCCCTTATGGCCTCGGAAATTTTAGGTGACATATTGCGGGCATTTAGGGAGAACCAACATTTCCAATTGCCTTTGCAAACAAAGCAGTATCTTGCATTACACGTCATTGCTCAGGAGGATAATGATAGCGAATACCTTGGTATTGGTTGTGCAGAAGTACCTCAGGACCTTGTAATCGAGTACGCTTCGAACCAGGGATGGTTCGCAATATTCTTTACCGAATTGGGTCTCCATAACAAGGCTGAACAGCTGCGGGTGCTGGTGCTGGAAACGAGGAAGAAGGTGCTGGGACCCGAGCATCCGGACACGCTCGTGAGCATAAGTAACTTAGCGTTAACGTACTTGAATCAGGGACGGTGGAAGGAGGCAGAACCGCTACAGGTACAGGTATTAGAGACAAGCAAGAATGTGCTAGGCGCCGAGCATCCGGACACGCTCGTGAGCATGAGTAACCTGGCGTCAACATACGAGAATCAGGGCCGGTGGGAGGAGGCTAAATCGCTAAAGATACAGGTATTAGAGACGAGGAAGAGGGTACTAGGCCCCGAGCATCGGGATACGCTCGTGAGCATGAATAACCTGGCATCAACGTACAGGAATCAGGGCCGGTGGGAGGAGGCTGAAACGCTAGAGGTACAGGTATTAGAGACGAGGAAGAGGGTACTAGGCCCCGAGCATCGGGATACGCTCGTGAGCATGAATAACCTGGCATCAACGTACAGGAATCAGGGCCGGTGGGAGGAGGCTGAAACGCTAGAGGTACAGGTATTAGAGACGATGGAGAGGGTACTAGGCCCCGAGCATCCGGATACGCTTATGAGCATGGGTAACCTGGCGTCAACGTACAGGAATCAGGGCCGGCGGGAGGAGGCTGAAACGCTAGGGGTACAGGTATTAGAGACGATGGAGAGGGTACTAGGCCCCGAGCATCCGGACACGCTCACTAGCATGAACAACCTGGCATGGGCGTGGAAACAGCAGGGCCTACATTCAAAAGCTCTTCAGTTAATGGAAGAATGTGTGCAGCTAAGAACTCGCATATTAGGTAATAATCATCCGAATACGTTAACTTCTAGTGCGGCATTGCTTGAATGGCAAGCAGAGAATTTGGAGATTAGTAGCTTAGTCGAAGAAAATCCAGCGGTCAATAATATAGCTAGTTAGACTCAATAGGAAAAAGAATACAAACATATATAAAAGGCCGACTCGAAGTATAGAAAGACGCCATAACCTATATAGTAGCATCTAAATCAAAATAGCATATTAAGAGCAGCGTTATTAGAAGCTATATTGTTGGGTTTATGTGCTCTCGATTTTGCAACTTGAATCTTGGAACTCATTTCAAGAATCTCGATTTGCCTCGAGAGCGAAACAGCAGCGCTTAGACGAAAGAAACCCAAGAACCGTATTCTCATCCGAATTTGACTTAACGACCATGATTTCATCTCCTAGATATGGTATATATAGCACCTCCAAGACCAGAGTGAGCTGAGTCTGTAAAGGTAACCCAATTTTCCTCGGTTTGTAATACGGAAGCCGCGAGTCACAACTCAGGATAACGCAGCTTCTCTGTTGCATTCTCAGATCTTGGTATTATGAATCAATTTTCTCTCTCTCGTGCCTCGTATTTGGTTAGTAAGCTTGCCGTTCTTGCTTGAGCGCTCATCACCCTCGGCTTAGCCAACTCGCCCGAGTAACCTGAAGGCCCCGAGTAACTTGCCTGATATTTAATTTTTGAAAGGGTGCTGGGTAAAGTCTTGGTATTTCTTGGCATTTCTGGACTCGCAAACGCTGATTTAAGGCCCTCGGGCTGCGGCACCAAAAGCGAATGAATTATTATTCCTTCTAGAATTGTAAAATTGGAGACATATTGAATAATTACATTTAATTAGCTCTTGGTCATGCATATGACAATAGAGTTATTTGCGGAAGCGCAAAATGAGATTGCGAATCCCCAAAAAAAACTCGACCTGGTGGACTGCCCAATTTTACCCCTTTTGAGATGTTTTCAAAGTGCTCAGAAAATTCTAAAAACTTCGTAGATAATGAAGAATACTCCAAATAGCCCGAAAATAACATTACTTTCTCTAAATTATGGTATTGCTGTGGCCAAATTGAGGTTTGAGCGGTTGAGTGGTTTGGGCGGTTGGTGGTGAACTCTTCTGGTTACAGCGCTTGTGGTATATCCCACGTGAAACGGTCAACTTTTGCGGATACCTTGCTCTGCAGCCCACTCAACTCGGCGATTTTAATTTTCTCTCTTTCGCGTCGTGCAAGTATAAGATCTCGTCGAAAGCAGGAGCTGCCTCTGGGCCAGGGACTCTAATGTGAGAGTGGAGTTTTATTTCTTCGCAAATTCTACCTAAAGTACACTGAGCTTCTCCCCATGTATTCTATCTTCCCCAATGCCCATCTACCGGAATTCTACCTCTCCATCACCATCCAGCAACTCCTCTACATAGCAAACAAGATCAAGAATGAAACCATCAAGGCAAACAAGCCAGTGGCCTCAGCAAAGGCAAACCCCAAAATAGCATAAGCGAACAGCTGTCCCCTCAATGCCGGGTTTCTCGCAACACCAGTGATCAGCGCGCCAAACACCGTTCCAATACCCGTTCCTGCTCCAATGAGTCCTGCAGCCGCAGCGCCGGCTCCGATCAGCTTCCCAGCGCCCATGATCGCCGCGCCGACGGTGATGGTCTCGGTCACGATGCCGCGCGATTGTCCGCGTGCGAGGTTGGAGGCGGTGTTGCGGAGAAGACCCCGGCTCATCAGGAGGCCGGATGTGCGGGAGTTGGGTTGGAATCGGGAGATGGAGGTTGTTGGACCTGTGCGGGAGGGACTGTTAGCTATCAATTGGCAGAGGAGGGGTCGAGGTGGAGAAGGGGAGGAGAGGTAAAGCTGTTGTCGTACCATTGGTGAAAGCTCGACGAGCGATTGGGTTTGCTTGTCGCAATGCGGAGGCCCCATTGAGGCGCGCGGAGCGGGCAGCCAGTTGGGCGATGGAATTCATGATGAGTGACGATGGAATCGAGGGAGAGTGGAGATTTGGGTCGTTGAATTGAAGTTATTGTTGAGAGGTGAGGAAGGGGATGGGATTCGAGAAGGACGGTGGAAAAGTACGAACGGCCTGCAAGGTTAAAATTAAAATGGCTGAAGTGCAGGTGGATGTTGCTGGGGTGCTGGGTTTCATTCCTTCTTACCCCGTGGGGCCACTTCCTACTGGTCGACCGTGCTCCGGCCTTCCCCGGCCTTTCCCCTCCCTTTTAGCGAGGCTTAGTAACGAGCCTGCGCTCACTAGTCTGTACGCACAGGGCATTTTTTAAGTATTTTCAGGCTTCGCGAAAACGCCTTCAGGCCTTAAAACCTAGAAGTCACGACTTTCACTTTAAGAGTTTACAACCTCTATTAATTGTAATAATCTATAATCCTTGGAAAGGGTATAAAAATAACTAAATTACACTTCGCAAAATTAAAACTTTAACTTTAGAAGAATTTAGATTTTCATTTATATATGAAATGCCCTGTGCGCACAGACTAGTGAGCGCAGGCTCGTAAGCCCCCTTGCCCCCACATCCGCTTACGAGACAGGAAACTTTCAAGTGGACGTTGATCATTTTTACGTCAATCATTTCTCATGATATTATTATTTTCTCTTGCGCCAATTATCAAGACTAGAAAAGATCGAAGTAGATCAATATCTCAGAATTCCTTTCTTCCCCCACGCCCTTTCCCCTTCCCCGCATTGCGGAGTAAATTACTGCGAGACAAGAAACTTTCAAGCGACATTAATCGCTCTCATAACATGATAATTCCCTCTTGCGCTAATAATCAAGACTAGGAAAAGATCCAACTAGATAAGTATCATACAATTTTTTCCCTCCCTACCGATTCGGCTCCTCAAGTTTGCGACCTCAACTCTGCTCGATTTCTTCAACCACAACCGCCCCGAATACCCAATCTCATTTGAGGTCTCCGGGGGCCACCGGATCAATCGACACTCTAGCATCACGAGAAGGCTGCTCAATCTCCGTCTCATCAGCAGGCACATAAGTTCTCGCTTTGTGGGCACAATAAAGGGGTAACTCTGGCACATGGTTGGATTTCGGCGAAAAACTCAAAATCGCCATACCACATTTGAGACTCAGTGCTTCAGTTTTCATCGCATCCAGCATGTTGATACCATGGGCCTTGGTATGCATAGCATCTCATATCAATCCTGTCCAAGCAACTTGGTCCACCGTTACAGATGGCGTCTTCAGTGAGAGCCCTGCGGGCCGATTGAACCTATTCCCCAAAATCTTGGAGCCAGTAAATATGTTTCAGTGACGCGCGGAGACTCTGCATCGAGGCTCAAGCATGCCGAGACCTGCATATAGCCAAAAGTAAACTAGGCTGCAGACTCTAGAAACAATATTCCTTTCGAGGAGGTGGGAGTCATAACAGTGAAAAGCGTGTTCATTAGGCCTGCTGGTTTCTTGCATATCACAGCCTGGACCTCGCAATTCATCACTCCAGCTTGGAGTTCGTCATGCATTAGGGCTGAGACCCATTTCTCAAACTGCGGTTGGATAATCTCATCTGTTCCTGAGTGAGTTGAAGTTGTCGGCATCTAAGCCGAGTCGTCGCCGTTGCACAGTAAGGTGGTGATAAAGTTCGAGCGTCTCCTTTGCTGGCACACGGGTGGCGTGCAAGGTACTCTAGGAGCAGGAGCCAAGGTCCAGGTATTGGTGGTACCACGAGAGCCTGCCGAAAGGTACGAGCCGGAAGCCGAGCCCTACTCTTCCTTGAGCTGTCCCCTACTATTAATTAGCACAAATACCCTTGTATTTTCCATAGTAGTAATTAGCTTGCCTTACCAAAAATCATGCTATATATATAAGCTTTAATAATGTATAGACACCTAGATGTGCTTTGAAAGGAGAATCGCAGCCTCACTCACGCTTCGACTTTTAGTATTTACGGTAGGCAGGGTGTTATTCGTTACACTAATAATATAGTTAATAGATTATGTGCTTTAAAGTGAAATGTGTAGAATTGAAAGCGAAATCGCTAATCTAGTTTCCCTTTATATAACTGTGATGCTCTTTAGTCGATTGCATGTAGATAAAAAGATCTTACCGCGGCGAACCTCAGCTTTAATCCAATATTTATCCTACTAAATAGATCGACTCCATTCAAGTATTATTAACTAACCTTTACTCTACGCTTTCTATAAATCAGATATTCTATCTTAACTCGACGCTTAACTTCCTACGCGACGAAGCCTGTCAGCGAAATACGAGGCAGTTGGTCATTGAGATTACGGTATTGCTTACCTTGCCATATCTGCTCGCGCTTATTATTCGAGAATCCGTGACAAGAAGCGCACATTACATATTTTGACACGCGGGATTGAGGTAACATTGGTGTAAGGGGGCGCATAGGGCAAGATCTGGCCTTCGTTGTAATAAAAGGAGCACCTATTTTGACGACTGGAGGATAAGGCAAAGGTGGACCCATATGCTGATACTACTGTTATTAAAGAGAATCCAATGATTGCGTACTCGGGGAAAATATCTCTTCGATGACTCTCATTAAGTCAGGAGCGCGGTTTCATTGGCTTCCAAAAGTGACACCGCACTTCTTTCCCCCGGAGTGGCTCCGGGTAGTTAAGGCGAAGCGGTAATAATATCTACCAGCTAATTGCGGAATAGGTCGGGCCACTTGGTATGTTCTCTGGACTCGAAGTTTGCTGGCTCGCCTGCCATATTTGTAAAACAAGAGCCTCGACATGCTGATCTAAGATCACCTCTGAGCATAGTATGATGTCGTCGGAGCAAGTGGGAGGAAGCATACTAAAAACAGTGGAATATGTGTGCATTTAAGAATTGAAAGCAAGGCAAGAACGATAGAGATTCGTGGGGAAAGGTAAATAAAGAAAACAAGATTGGAGGAATTGACATGCTGATTGGGACTTTTTATGTGACAGACGGGTATTGGGCTAGGGACGTGCAGCTCAGCTATGCCCTCCCAGTAAAATAGAAAGAGCAACCGAGGAATTGGGAATTGGCCCGACCCTATCATTGATGGTTTGACCTCCAAATCCATTGCTCAGATTCTAAGCGAATAATCTCATGTACCTTAGAACTTGTCCTAAATAATTGTGATAGTATATTTCCCCTCGGAATCAGCTTCTCCACCATCGAACCATTCTCGTTAAGGATAATTTCCCCACTGTTGTTCCTACACCTCTCCACTATCCAGCCCTTATCAGCTTCAATACCGTGCCACACGGTGGGGACGACTAATCTTCCACATCTTCTAAATACCCCTCGTTTCTTTGTTCGTTCCAAAACTAAACAATTGTACGAGTCGCTATGTAACCCCTCTCCCTGCAGAATCGGAAGACAATGCAACTCTGTCTCCAACGATGTGTCAAAAGGCTCGTCAGCGTCCATCAATGGACTCCCACTATACCGTACTCCATTTATCCTGAAAAAGCATTTTGTGAGATCCACTGAATCGATCTCTGGATTCTAGTAATCAACATAATTAACCGGTAAGCAGCCCCCAAAGTCCTCAGTCTTTTTCACAAAGCACGTCATCAACGGTCCTCGAACCGTCAATGCACCGCCTGCTACTTGTCCCATCTCATCTGCGCTCTTCTTCTGCGTACTTACACACGAAATCTCAATCTCGAACTTCTTATTCTCAGATTCCCGTCCAGGAATATTGATTTCACCATCAATACTTGCCCAAGACCATGAAGGCGGCCTATATTCTCTCGGTCGCCGGACTATGTCGTGAACTGACCACAACAAGTTTCGTTCAAGCTCAATACGCCACATCCTAGCCAAATAGTCACATCCCATTTATACTTTCATCGCTCTGGCAACGCCTGCTAAGGCAACAAGCTTGTCTCGTTCAAAAGTCAACTCACATAGTGAGTAGATGGGTACGATACAGTTCCAGAAATCTATCAGCTGCATTTGGCTAATGATTCCACTCGCAAAATTTTCCCCTTGCCCTCGGCTTCAGACATATTCCCATTAATTTTCTTTCTGACTTGGACCAGCGTTCCAGAATTCTGTCCCTAGCCTTTGAAAGACTGCAGAGGCTGGGGACGCTGTTGATGCCAACGGATAGCCTTCCAGAATACTCGGACGTAAACTTGCTGCTATGTCGGAGAGTGTTTGCGTAATGTTGGCATTCACCGTATCGGAATTTTTTGTTCTTCCTGCTCCCAAGTTAGAGCAATACTTTATGAATAGGTCTGGTATATTCTTTTTGAAAAACCTGCCGTTCGTTGGTCGTGTCCGAAGGCCGGGAATACCTGTGGGATAAATCTCACAGCAATCGTGCTCGGTGCATTCCCAGTATAACTGGGTTTTCCCGAAATGAAGTATTCTCTTTTGCCATTATTCGCTCCTGGAGAACCCAACCTCGAGAAAGTAAAGGCCCGTCTAGAAGCATTCCAGACGGAAAGTAGCTAGGGTGAATAAGCAAATTGCTATTGCTATGATCTATCTAGGACGAGGAGATATAGCAAGCAGTTTATTCGAGGGGCAATTTGCTGGGTCGTTCCGTGAAGAGTACTCCCTCCCCATCCGTTGAGCTAGTTGCAGCAATATTGAGGAGACCATTGGAGTAAACTTTGCCCATCAGAGCTGATTCTCGCTCCCCAACTTCCTTCGAGTTCTGCATTATGCATAAGGAATCTATCCAGAGATATTTCGTATCTAAGAATCTGACAACCAGATTGCCCACTGAAAGAACCTCGGTAAGAGTGAAATTTTCAAACCCGCAGGTAGGTGACAGGCAGTGTCGGAGGTAAGTTTGTATATATCTGCCTTTCCCCAACAGTGACTCAAGGTCATGTAGTTCTTGATCGCTCCATTACCCTTGGTCTCGACCAAGCGGATTATCCCATTCGTTAATTCATTCAGATCGAGAAGGCCTGTCGGCAACCAGCCGGATATTTTCGCAGAACATCTGAAATGCCTGTTGATGCAAGTTTCTAACCAGAGCTGGGCGCGATATAGAGGCCGTTCTAAATCTATGAATCTCTTAATAGAATGTTCGGAAGAATAGCTTTGAGCTTCGACTAATTCTAGAGTACAAACGTTATGAAGTACTCGACCTATTCATTAAGCTGCGTGGGTCAGCAAACCTCTACGGTCGGCTAGACTGTACATATAATGGTCCACCAAGGATGAAGGTCGGTGATCCATAGATATGCAGAGGATTATAACATTCCTATCTACTATCAACTCATATATAGTGAAGTGTCCGCTGAGGGCTTCCAATTTTTTTTGTCTGAGACGTAGCTTCGAGACTAGCTTAGCAATCTCTGCGAGGGTCGAATCCTGTTGGCATAGATCTCCTTCCATGCATTTCTTGCAAATATCTTCGAAGATTTGCGTGCAGGTCCAACATTCTCTAAGAGCTGATTGATAAAGACTTGAGACATCCAGCTGATGTGCGCGGTAATTGGTGTTGGGAGGAGGGCGAAATACGTCTACTCAGGGCGCGTGCTGCTCTTTCCAGAGTTGCCAGACGTGGTGAACAGTTATGAAGGTTGTAGAAATTACCATGGAATATATTTCTACCAGCCTGACAAAGCATCTTGAAAACAGGATTAAAGTTGAACTCGTAACGCTCAACTATAATGAGGAGGTATAGGTATCGCAATACCATAAGTATCGAGACTGCTGGCTTATGAAAGGTAATTAATTAGTGTTGGCGCGGTGGCAGGTTATTGAGAGGGGGGATTAGCGGCGAGTGGTTGGCAGGAAGTGGCAGTGGCTGGAGGGAAGTGATTGGGGGGAAGTGATCGGCAGGAAGTGGCTGGCGAGAAGTGGTTGCCGGTACCGAGGCCTGGAGCTAGCTTGGGGTCACATCACATTGCGCAAGCGAGCCCTAGTTAGGTTTCTTAGCAGACTTCAATGAATCATCCTTCACTACATGCAGCCCATCCAACAAAAAGGGTGTGCATTGACTGTGGATCTCGGTTACAACTGCACAGGGCCCACGATCGTAGCAAGCAACGAAAATTAAAAAAATTCAATATGCAATATACTGTGTATAACTCAACAACCACTAGTCGCGTCGCGTTGCAAATAAACTAGATCAAGTCGCCTTGCTCAGTTGACCTTCCCTGCATCCCCAACCGGAATCCCGCCATTACAGGGCGGGTTGCAATGGCCTCGCTGCTGCTCAATTTGTGACAGGCGTTTCGGGCGTAGGATTGTACTTGCAGTCGCCCTTACACCAGCAGGTAGAATCGTATCCTGTTGACCCTGCTGAATTGCAATGTTCCCTCCAAGCACAGTTGTTCCATCTCGAATGTACTTCCATACACTCTTGATTTTTGGTGTCAGGACCATGGTTGATGGTGGCGTAAACCAATTGGCCCCTTTCTGACCCATACATTTTGCAAACGTCTGCCGTGTGCTCATTGTCATACGTTCCGTCGCTATTCGTACAAGCACAATATGCATAGTTGGAGCATGCAGAAGTGGAAGATGCTCCTAGAGCAAGAAGTAGAAGTAGTCCCGCCTTCATAGCGTAGGTAGATTCAACCACAATATCAATTCTAAAAATCTATTAGTATATGAAAGAGCTATTAAAAACACGTATACTTACTAATAATAAAACAGTTCTTAGTTATAAGACCTTTTGAAAAGCTGAAGGGTATTTTATTGTTTTGGGCAAAGTTCAAGAATGCTTTATAAGAATATAAAAGAAAGATTAATATATGTTTTATAACTACTTTTATTAATGGACCTCGAATATAATTGCATTATAAGGTTTGCCATATTTATAACACTTTTAGTAATTTTAATATAAAAAAAAATCCTTAGACTTCTATAAAGTCTAGTATAGTATATAAGCTCTTAAATAAAAGGGCCTTTAAAGGGCCTTTAGTGGGTCTTCCTCGAACTAAATATTTGGCGGTTCTCGCTTCCAACTCGCTTACTATATCTTGTAAATACGGGATACCATATATAAAGCAAAGCAATACTTTTCCCTCATATAAAACGTGGCGTAATAAGGTTGGCACGGCTGTTCAAATACAACGTATCTACTCATGTAAATGTAGCGAGACAGGGGGGTGCGGGGCTGGCGGTGAGGAGAGTGGAGAGAGGGGAGAACGTCCTTGCGCAATTTTTGGTGTTCCTGTCTATACACGCTAAGGCGCACCCCAAGCTTTACTAATGTATATACCTCTGTACTAGGCTTAAAATAATATAGGACCCACTTGCTATTGGCAGTCAATTGGTATGCTATCGCGAAATTGTTGGCGCCATAATTTTGGATAACTCTAGTACCATACATACCTTGACAAGCTATTAACATGCCGTTAATACGTGTTTCCCCCCTAATATTTATTATTTTTATAATTATATATAATACGAGATTAGGGCCGCTTTACTAAAATTAAAGCCTGGCGGTCCTATGCAAGCTTTAGAGTTAGTCTTTAATTTTGCACTGATCTCAATTCGAGATTAAGAGGGTCACGTGACTTTAGTTTTAATATAGAGCTCTCTCTCTCTTTATAACTACTACACTCCCTAATTATACTCGCAAAGCTTTTTCTTCTCTTTTATAGGCTATTTTAAGCCTTACTTTTACTTATTAAGCTCTTTATAATATATATATAGGGTTATATATAATTAAAGAATATATAATAAACCTTAGATATTACAGGTATTAATTAAGGAAATTAATAGTTCCTTAAGGTTATAGTTATACTACTATTTATATTATAGGCTTTAGGCTTATAAATTACTAAATATATATATATATATTATTAGGACCTCTTATTTAGAAGAGGCTTTCTATAAGATATATAATAATAAAGTAATATAGAAATAATTAAGATAAGTAAGCTATAGAATAATACTTGTAAATATAACTAATTCCAAGAACTAATTCTAGTAAAAGACTAATTAATACCCCTTTCTAAAGCTAGGAGCGTCTCTTTATATATTTCCTAGTACTTAGCTAAGTATATAAAGCCCTTTACTTAATTAGGAAATATAATCTTATATAATTCATATAATTCTAATTATAAGCTTTATCTAAAATAGAAAACTAGATCTATAATATCTAATACTTATTAATATACTATTACGTATACCTATTATACTTCTCTAAACCTTATAAGAGAAATAGAGATTAGTTATATACTGAATTTAATACTATAGTTTTATAACTCACTAACTTATTATATTATCTTATTACTTACTAATAAATACCTTATATTCTCTCTCTTATTTAATTTCCCTCCTCTCTTTTTTAAATTATAGCCATATTACACTCGCAAGCTTGTATTAATATAACATATAAATATATAGGATATTGGTTTTTTTAAGAGCTTTTATTTAAATATTTAGCCTTTTACCTTATATTCCGGGTCCGGTTTGCTTTCTTATTTCGTTTTCAGTACGTATTGCAAGTAAAGAACTAGCCAAAATCTATAAGAGGTTTTTTTTCGATTATAAGAAGAGCAGTATTCCGCTTGCAAGCTCTCTTGCGGACCCTCCCAAGCCTCACTCGCTCCCGTAAGCCCCTTATTACCCGTACTCTCACCCGCAACTCCCTCCCAAGCCTTACTCTCACCCGCAAAGCTCTTTCCCTCTCGTGGCCCCCCCAAGCCTCACTTCTACTTGCACCATTACTTACAGGGCTCTCCCTTCCCTCCCAAGCCTCACTTCTACCTGCAAAGCTCCCCATTTCCTCTTGCGGGCCCTCCCAAGCCTTACTCCCACCCGCAAAGCCCTCTCCCTCCCGCGGACCCTCCTAAGCCTCACTTTTACTCGCAAAGCCCTCCATTTTCTCTCGCGGGCCTTGCCAAGCCTTACTTTTATTTATAGAGCTCTCCCAAGCCTTATTCTCGCCCGGGAACCTTCCCCCAGCTATTCTGCAAGCCCGTAGAGCTCCATTTCTTGTCCGTCGAGCCTTTCTAGCTCTTTTCTCCCTATAAGCCCTTTGCCAAGCCCTTCCGTAAGCTCTCCCCTGTATTTACAGATCCCCTTAAGGCTCCAGGCTTGGCGATGATCCTGGAACGATCCGTATCGTTCCTAAGCGAGATTGTACCTTAGGCCTTAAACTGCCCTATAATTGTAGGGAGCTTATAGCGTACTTCCACTTAGACTTATAAATAACTTTATAATTACTAATTGTATAAAAAAACTTTTAGTTACGTAATTACTCTATTTAATCCTAGCTTGCTATTTATATTATATATAGGAAATTTAGATTTAAGCTTATCTCGATGCGGCAAAAAGAAGTGTTTTGAGTTTTCGTGAGGCTCGTTTAATTAGGAAGTACCTCCTATACAAATTTACTATGTAAGGTACTTTGCCCTGGATCGTTCCAACCGTTCCAGGATCATCGCCAAGCCTGCCTTAAGCTCTTACTTGTACGTATGGCTTCCTTCCAACCCTATGCTCGCGGGTGATTACCCTTATATATAGCTACTTCCTATAGCTCTCGTCCCTTTCGACTACCTTTAATGCCTGTTTCTTTGCCTTCTCCCTTTGTATTCTCCTCTTTAAAGCCCTCTCTACTACCTGTTATGCCCGTGCAATTGCTATACTTGTCTTTTATAAACCGGCTTGCCTTTTTGCTTACGGTACTAATTGCGGAGTCGAGTAAGGCGTGCAAGTAAGAAGCGTGCAAGTGGGAAGCATGCAAGTAGGGAGCATGCAAGTGGGCGGGCTTCGGGCTCAAGTTTTGGTGTTCCTCACGTGACTAGTATTTTTAATAAGTAGTCCGACTATATAATAATATTATCTAGATTATATAATTTAATAATTAATTTAATTTAATCTAATTTAATTACTAGTTAATAGTTATAATTATTTAATTTATTTAAATTATTTAATATATTATTTATAAACTTATTAATTATTAATTATTTTATTATTTTAAATTAAACTTTTTTTATTAATATAAACTTTATTTTATTAAATAAGGAAATAATTTCGGCCCGATTTTTAAGTAAATATTATTATAATATCTTTATATAAATTATAAATTTCTTATTTATTAATTTAAGCTTAATATATTTACTTTTTTTTAATAAAGATTTTTGAATTTATTTTTATAATAAATATATATAATAATATATAAACAAGTATTAGATACTATAAATCTAATTTCTTATCTTAAATAAAGCTTATATTGAAATTATATAAATTATATAAAATTATATTTCCTAATTAAATAAAATACTTTATATTCTTAACTAAATATTAGAAAATATATAAAGAAATACTTTTAGCTTTAAAAAGAGATATTAATTAGTCTTTTATTAGAATTAACTCTTAGAAATTAATTATACTTATAAGTATTACTTTAAAATATACTTATTTTAATTATTTATATATTATATTATTATTATATATCCTATAATTTTGTAATATATATAGGGTTATATATAACTTAAGGATATATAACGAACCTCGGATATTACAGGTATTAATTAAAGAAATTAAAGGCCCTTTAATATTATAACTAACTACTATTTATATTATAAATATTAGATTTATAAATTACTAATTATATATATATTATTAGGGCCTCTTATTTAGAAGAGGCTTTCCTGAACTTTATAAGAGGAATAGAGATTAGTTCTATACTAAATTTAATACTATAGTTTTATAATATACTAATTTATTCTATTGTCTTATTACCTACTAATAAATACCTTATAAGCTAATCTCTCTATTCTTAAAGAAAATAGTTTAATAAGTAATTATATTTCGAAATCTGCAAAATATATAATTCTTTACTAGAGCTATTTCTATAAAAGAAGTCGACCAGATTAATTCCGATACGAATAATGGTAAAGGCTTATCTAATACTTTTAATAGAGCCCTTTAGGAGCCTTTGAGAGCTAGTAATAATAACAGAAATAATTCCGGTAATAATTAAAATACCGAGATTAATACTCAAGTTACTATTACCCAAGCTATAGAATAAAGATTATATACTAATATTGAAGTACTCTAATAAAAGTAAGAATTAGTAGATATAATTAACTAATATATCCTATAGTTAGAATAATATAAGGATATCTTTAGAGATATCTTATAGTTTACTATATCTTATAGAAACTCTATTTATAAGTCTATTCTATCTTCCTTAATAATTCCTATTAGGGAACTTCCTGAAATGAAATTGGAATCTATTTCCTTTCCTAATATAATAAGCTTTAAAAGTAATCTTAATACTATTCGTTAGAAGCTACTATATAATATTCTAAAGATATATTTAAACTAAAAGAAGCTTTTTAAGGTTCGAATACCTGATTTATATTATAGAAAGTTCTTTAAAGAATAGAGAATATTTATATTTTCCTAGAAGGCGGTTTTTAGAACCTAATTTTGGATTTATAATAGATACTTTTCTAGAATTAACTCTATTATAAGTGCCTTTAGAAACAAATTTTATAATACTTGGGAGGCTATAATAAAGTAAAGCCTACTATTATATAAGGTCTATTAAAAGCAATTTAAGGCCTATTTGGCTAATATATTCCAAGTATCTTAAATCTATTAATAAGATATCTTTAAGAAGCTCTAAGATCTTTATTAGAAAAATAGTAAGATAATTACCGAGTTATATATTCGGATAATTAGTTTCGAAGTTAACTAGAACCTATATTCTAAAAGAGACCGGATCCGGACTTTTAATACTACTTTATCTAATTATAAAACTTACTAGATACTTATATCTATTTTCTTAGAAAATAAAATAATATCTATTTCCGAATAGCTTAAAAAAGCTCAGAAAATAAAATATACTATTTATTCTAAATTAAGAAAAGTAAAGGCAAAAGAGTCTAGTAAGAATAATTCTGCCCCTAAGAATTCTGATTTAGTGAATTCTGATTTATAAGGCTATTAAAAAAGGAAGAATAAATTCCGAAAATTATATAAGAAACTCTTAGGTAGTATTTCGGCCCTTTTAAAGCTTTAATAAAATACTAGTTCTATTTCAGGTATAGTTTATTAGACTTATAAATAGAAAGGATATTTTTCAGGAAGTATAAAGTATTTCAAATATATTAAATAGGCTTAGTAAAACCCTAATAAGGCCAAAACTATAAAAGAGTCAAAGTATTTATAAAAATAGATTAATACTATTACTATAGAGAAGTATTCTAGAGGAAACTCTTCTAAAAAACAGGAAAAAGAGAAAATCAAATCTTGAATATTAATAATTTTAGCTATAATAAAAAAGATATATTATTTTATATAACTATTTAAGCCAGATTAATATAGCCAGAAATATATATCTTAAAGATATATAGTAGATTTAGTAATATTAAATTAAACTATAACTTCCTTAATAATAATTAGGCTTAAAGCCGGGGCTTTACTACTTTAGCTAAATATAATTAAGAATTTGTAATCTTTTATAGGAATAGATTTAAGATCTATTAAACCTATAATCTTAAAGTATTTATTATAGATAATTATAGCAAAATATATTCTTTTAAGTTCCGGTTCTATAAATATAAAAATATTAGCTCTTATAGTCTTATCTTTAGTATAAAATTTTATAAAATAACCCTTATATAATATATAAACTATATTAAGAAATAATAGATATATATACTTATATAGTTTAATAATATTAAGATCCTAATACTAAAAGAATTTAATAAGAAGCTTAACTAGTACCCTAAGCTAGTATCTCAAATTTTATTTTTAACTAAAGGCAAATATAACTATTTCAGATAATAGGCTTTATATATTTATAATAATTACTAGATCTTTACTTTATTATATAGTTCTGGTAATACTAAATAGAAGTTTTTAATATAATAAATTAATACTTTTTAGAAAGGAACCTTAAAAGTATCTATTTACTTTCGGGATAATAAATATAAAGACTTTTTAGAGGTTTTTAATTCTAATAAAGCTTTGGAACTTCCTGATTTTAGTAGTATTAAATACTCTATTAATATAAATAGTACGGTTCTATATAAGCCTTTATATAATCTATTAGAAACCTAACTAGAAGTATTATATCTATATTTATAGAATATATTTTATAAATATTAGATAAGGCCTAGTAAAAGCCTAATAGAAGTATTTATTCTTTTTATTCCCAAAAAGAATAAAGAGCTATATCTTTATATTAATTATTATAGATTTAATTAAGTTATAATCAAGAATTGATATCTGCTTCCTCTTATTAATAAGACTTTTAACTAGTTCTAAAAAGCTAAAATCTTTATAAAGCTAGATCTTAAAAATATATATTATTAAATAAGAATTTATAAAGAATATAAATAGAAAACGGCTTTTAGGACCTATTATAACTATTTTGAATATCTTATAATACCTTTTAGGCTAGCTAATATACTAGCTATATTTCAAGTATATATTAATACTTTTATAGGATTTCTGGATTATTTTATAATTATTTATTTAGATAATATCTTTATTTATTCCCGAAATAAAAGTAAATACTATAATTATATTTGCCAGATATTTATTAGATTATATAAAAATAATCTATTTTATAAATTTAGTAAATATAAGTTTAATATTAAGGAAATCGAATTTTTGGATTTCCTTATTAGAATAAAAGATATTTATATAGATCCTAAACGGGTCTATAATATTATTAAATAGCCAGAACTAGAATTATTCTATAATATTTAAGTATTTCTTAGATTTACTAATTTCTATTACAGGTTTATTTATTATTACTTTTAAGTAATTATAGGCTTAATAAACTTTTTAAAAGAAATAAAAAAAGGCCGGAAATCCGGTCTTTTTATATAGATAAATAAAGTAGCTAAAAGCTTTAAGATTTTGAAAAAAGCTTTTATTATAATACCTGTTCTGGTCTA